TAGCATTAGGATGGTTGAGAACCACTGTTCTAGGTCCTTCCTCCTAAGTGGGTAGGATTATAGACACATGCTACTGTGCCTCTCCTTTTTTTTTTTTTTTTTTAACATTTATTTGTTTTAGAATGAGTGTGTTTGCACACTTGTGCATTTGCACTTGTGGCGAGGCATTTGTGTGGAATCCAGAAGGACAATTTATTGGGGTCATTTCCCCAGAGGTCAAACTCAAGATTGTCAAGTTTTACCTGCTGAGCCATATTGCCTGCCACACTTTATTTTTATTTTACTTTTTAAATTGTGTGTGTGTGTTTTGACTTTTAGACAAGGTCTTATTATGTATCCAGGACTGGCCTGGAACTTGCTATGCAGACCAGAAGAAAGCATGACATCCCCTGAACCTGGAAGTTAGGTGTGGTTGTAACTGCTTTTAACTGCTGAGTCATCTCTTCAGCTTCCCTTCCCTGCTGGGGTAGAGAGCTTGCTTAGCATATTGAGGTCCTTGTAGCTAGATCCACAGCACCACAAACCTTTCATGCTAAATTAAACATGTACAGAAGTAGACTAGGGTGATGGATGGACCTGTACTTGTCTCCTTTGTAGCTATCAGGTTACCATTTCTTATGTATATACATACATACACATTTATTTGCTTATTGTGTATATACATGTGAGGATCAGAAAAAATTTGCAGGAGTTGGTCCTCTCCCTCCACTTTGTGGGCAGCCTTGGCAACAAGCCCTTGTTCACTGAAACATATTGCTAGCACAAAGGTACTGTTTTTTATAATCTGGCATGGTAGCATATACCTGTAATTTCATCAGTCAAGAGGCTAAGACAGGGGTTGGGGTGGGAGTCAAGAAACGAAAGGTCAAGCTGGGCATGGTGGCACAGGCCTTTAATCCCAGCACTCAGGAGGCAGAGACAGGCAGATGGCTGTGAGTTTGAGGCCAGCCTGGTCTACAAAGTGAGTCTAAGACAGCCAAGGCTACACAGAGAAACCCTGTCTCAAAAAACAAAACCAACTCCCCCCCCCCAAAAAAAAAAAAGAGAGAGAGAGAAAAGCCATCCTGGTAGCAATCCTGATTTTTATTTTTTAATTTAAAAAAAAAATTAAAGGAATCTCTCTCACCCATTTTCCGCCTTCTTGTGTTTGGTTGCAAATCTAGACATGACTTCACCTATGATGCTGTGATAACTAACTAGTAAAATGCATGTTGTATGTCTATTTGCACTTTACTTGTTTCAGTCAAGACCCCGAGTTTCACTACTTGGTGGTCTTTTTTAGAGACAGAATTTCATATAGCCCACGGTGGGTTTGAACTTCCTATGTGGCTAAGAAATGACCCTGTTCTGATCCATAGTGGGATTACAGACATGCATCACTGCACATAGGACTGCTGAGCACTCAGAGCTACATTGGAGCTCTGGAATTTGTATGTCATATGTAATGGTGTACAATGTATGTGCTTTTGCACATAGAGAAGACATTGGGGGTCTTACTTTATCACTCTGCCTTATTGAGAGAGTTTCTTACTAGACTTGGAGCTAGGCTGTTAGTTAGCAAGTTCCATTGGTACTCTGTGTGGCCCCCACAATGCTGCTATTACACTCACATGTGGCCGTGCCCGGGCCTTTACCGTTGGTGATGAGGATTTGAATTTGGGTCCTCTTGCTTGGGCAGCAAGTACTCTTATCTCTTAAAGTGTTATTTTTTTTAATGTATGTTATAAATTTATTTTCCTCTTGTATTTTTCTTTTCATTTCCTTCTCTGTTTTAGAAATGGGTTATGTTGCTCTGTGAACAGAATTTTCTGTAGTCTGGAATTTTGATGGTCACTATAGGAAATGTTATTATCCCCCCACCTAGGTGCTTTTGCGTCTCTTTGTGAACACTTCATGACGTCAGTGGTTCATCCCAGACCTGTTTGGTTTTGTTTGAGAGTGTGATTGTAGGGGTGTGTGGTGTAGGTGTATATATGGAAGCCAGAGGTCAACCTTTGGGGTTATTCCTCAGGGACTGGTCTTGTTGTTGTTGTTTCAGACAGGGTCTTAGTATGTAGATCAGGCTGGCCTGAACTCACAGAGAGACATGCCTGCTTCTGTCTCCTGGGAGTGTTTAAAGGTGTGTGCCACTGTGCCCTGCTCCACTTTTGTTTTTTGAGAATGGTCTGTCTTTGTGTCTGTATTTTAGGCCATCTAGTGCTACATAGTGAAACCTATTTCAAAAAAGGTAAAAGAAGGGGTGGCTGATGTGTTTCTCATGGGAAGTGGGGCTAGCGTGCTCTGCAAGCATTTTAATGAGTGAACCAGCACTCTAGCTTCTGTGTTTATGTTTGCTGAGACATTAACACATTAACACAGAGTGGCCTGGAGTTCACAATCTTCCCACCTCAGCCTCCTGAGTACCACAGTTACAGACATGTACCACCACACCTCACTTTTAGGCCAGGTTTTTGTTTGGTAGCCCTGGCTGTCTTGGAACTCACTGTGTAGAGACCAGGCTGGCCTCGAACTCAGGATCCATCTGCTTCTGCCTCCCAAGTGCCGGGATTAAAGCCATGGGCAACACAACCACCACCAGCTTGTTTATATCTTCCTAATTTTTTTTTTTTTTTTTTTTTTGTCAATTTTAGATTTTCAACTGCTTTTGAAAGCTTCAAACCAGCCTGGAGGTGGTACCAGGCGTAGGTGGTGCACGCCTTTAATCCCAGCACTTGGAAGGCAGTCAGATCTCTGAGTTGGAGACCAGCCTGGTCTACAGAGTGAGTTTCAGGGCAACTAAGGGCTACACAGACCTTTTCTTGACAAAAAAATTAAAAAATATATATATATATTAGGAAACACACCTACTTTTATCTATAAATCAAAGCAGCCATATTCAGAACTTGTCCTCAGATTTTCCATTTTTGTCATATTCTCATAAGTGAGGTTGCTGTTCTACCAGCTGTTGTTCTACTAGCATCTTGCTCTAAAAAGTTACTTAGATCGCATATGGCAATTAACACAGAGGCCCACAGCTGGTCAAGGCACAGAGAATAAGATTGTAGAATGCTCAGCTCATGCCCCCTCCTTCCAAGGCTCAGGGTTCATTGTGGAGTAGAGAACTAAAAGACTGAGTCAGAGGTAGTAGAATACTGCAAAGAAACAGCAGGGTGCCTGCCTATGTGCACACACAAGTCCTGCTTCAAGCCAGTGCAGTGGACAGAGGTGGGCATGAAGTGCCACCCCTAGCCGTCGACCACTGATAGCCACTAGCAGAGGAAGACTCATTTTTGGCCTTTGGAGACCAACCCACACACACACCGGTTGGTGGCCCTGCAATCAAAAGAATATAAATAACACAAATTGAACTCCTTTTTAAAATATTTTAATTTTTTAATATCAAAGTCACTAACTTGTGGACTGTTTGAATAAATAATAGAATAACAGTACTGAATACTGTATAATTATAAACTACAGTGCAGAGACTATCTTGAATTTGTTTGTTTCTTCTGAGTTCCAAGTTCATACAAAGGTAGTGACTACCATTTTGTATTATTTACTCAAAATTTAAAGGCATATCTAGTGCCAGGCATCTAAGGATTGGGGATATAGTTGTGACTTAAGCTACTATCATAGATTATTTATTATAGATTTTAATACATTCTTTGAAATATTTTTTTTTATTTATTCTCCTCCCTGTCCCTCCCCACCTCCTTTCTTCCCCCAGTCAACTCCTCCTGTTTCCCTTCAAAGGGGGGTGGTTGGGCCACAGTGGTGCATGCCTGTAATCCTAGCACTTTGGGAGACTGTTAGGAGTCCCACAAGAACACCAACCTACACAACTATATAGGATCCATGTTTGTTGCTTTAGTTTCTGTGAGCTCCCATGAGCCCTTTTTAATTGATTCAGTGGCTTGTGTTCTCATGGTGTCCTGACTCCTACAATCCTTCCTCCCCCTGTTCTGAGGGATCCTCCTAGCTCTTCTTAGTGATTGACTGTGGGTGTCTCTGCACCTGCTGCCATCAGTTTGCTGGATGACAATCCTCTGAAGACAATTGGGCTAGGTACCAACCTATAGCAGAATATCATTAGGAATCATTTCATTGAATTGTTTTTTTTCTTTTCTTTCTTTTTTTTTTTTTTTGCTAGTCGTATATGTTTCTATCCTGACAGATGCCTTCATAGGTTAATGTCTTGAGGCTGCTTCTGTAAGAAGAAAGCACACTGTATCATGGAAAAAAAATCTAAGAATGGAATTTGAATTGAGAAGTCTAAAAGAGCTTCTTGAGGAAGTAACATCTTAGTAAAGACAACCTAAGTTATAAATTAACCAAAGAAATGTGGGGCAGTGGCTTATCTAGCCAAAAGTAAGACCTGAAAGAGCTTGTGTGGTGGGGATGTAGGGGACTGGGGCAAAAGAAAGAAAAGGTAAGGGCAGATGATTTTCAGGAGTTGATACATTTACGATTTTGGATTATGCCCTAAATGCATAGGGAGTGCGATTTAAAGGAAGATTTCAAATGGTAATGATATGTTTAGGGTGGTTTTGTTGTCATTGTTTTTTTAGTTAGGGTCTCATTATATAGTTCCAACTGGACTAGACCTTACTGTGTAGACTAGGCTGGCTTCAAACTCACGGCAGACCTCCTGCATCTGCCCTTTTAGGTGCTGGGATTACAGGAATGTGCCACCATGTCTGCCCAATTTACAGGTTTGGGATTTTGTTGTTGTTTTGCTTTTTTTGTTTGAGACAGGGTCTTACTAGGTAGCTCTTGCTGGTCTCCCAACTCACTGTGCCCTATCCCCATTTGCTATTTCAGGGGGTCACTCTGGTTAGTGCATAGAAAACTGAAGGGTGACAAGAAGGGTAATGGAGAGACCAGAAAAAGAAGGTGACAGTAGAAGTGGAAAATTTGAACCACAGATTGTTTACTGCAAATATGTAAACCTTTTAATTAATTAATTAATTAATTAATTAATTAGTTAATTAATTAATTAATTAATTAACTAACTAACTAACTTGTTTATGGACAGAATCCTGTACACACTTGGATTGTGGTTATATTCACTCTCATCATATTCCATCGCCTGTGAACTACTTCTTCCATTAGGTTGTAGCCCTCTTAGTGTGTGCCACCTTTGAAGGAAATGGTATCCTCTTCTTTAGCAGCCCCCTTCTTGGGTGGGTGTAGGGAGATACCAGAGCTTTAAAAATTTTTTTTTTTAATTTTATGTATGTATATACAGAGTAGATATAGACACACAGCATTCAAACAAAAATGGTGTACTCCCAGTTTGGATGTATGATACAATTTCTATGTATCATGGAGTTTTTCCTTGATAATAAGTCGCTCTCGTTTCTGAGGTTTTTTGTTTTGGCTTAATTTTTACTATTTAATGAGTTACAAATATGAACAGAATAGATAAGTTTCTGTGTGTGCACATACTCATGCAGCTTTTTTAATTAGTTAGTTCTATGATTTTTCATTTTTTTTTTATACAGTAGTTTTGAACTTGATTTTTTTGTTTGTTTGTACATTTGCTTGTTTTCTTCTCTTTGAGATAAGGTTTCCCTATAGAGCCCTGACTGTCCTGGAACTCACTATGTATACCAGTCACAGAGAGTCTTCTGCTTCTGCCTCCAGAGTGCTGGGATTAAAGGGTTATGTCACTGCACCCAGTCTTGCTCTCAACTTCTTTTATGTTTTTACTGAAATTTCCATGTGTTTTGTTAGAAATTAGACTACATTGATTTGTATGCCAAAATGATGTTAACTTTCAGTTTGTGATTAATTTTGAATTGACTTTGGGAGATGTGCCAGTTTAGAATCACATGGAGTAAGGAAGGTTTTTATTCCTTTCTGTAACTCCCCATGTTTTCTGGGGTCGGAGTAGGTTTGCATTGTGTAGGTAATAGCTGTCTTCAGTTTTATTACAGAATGTTTACTTTTGTTCCTGGAAACCTTTGCTCCTAAACAGTGTGATCATTAAACTGGCAGTGACGGTGCACACCTGTAATCCTGATACTCCAAATCCCAGCTACAGGCTTGGAGACTGGAGGATCATAGGTTGCTACACAGTGAGTTCAGGGCTAGCCTGGGCTACATGAAACCTTGTTTCAAAAAGCAACAAAAACAAAAATCCCTTAATTAGGCCGTCCCTTCCTTCCTGCCTGCCTTCTTTTCTGGTAGTAATTTATTCAACAGATATCTGCACATAGGTAAACCTTACTTTGGAAACTAAAATACCAGAGATGCTGCCTACTCCTGGGCCCTCTGGAGTATGAAAACAGGGAGGAAGCCTTGGAAGAAAAGGCCAGAAACAGGGTACAGCTGGTACAGATTGGATAGTGCAAACTTGGATTTCCTTTAAGGAAAGAAAAATCTATTTATAAGGGCTTTAGGGTGGCTGGAGGAGATGGAGGCCTTAGGAGAAAGGGAGGAGCTGAGTACGTAGAAGGTTCTTATATTTCTATCCTCCTGCCCTTCTTTCTCTTTACTCTCTACATCTAGTTAGATGCTTTTAAAAGCCCACTGTAGAGCCAGGTGTGGTGTCTCATGTCTGTGATGCTAGCACTTGAGGAGCGGAGGCGGCCAGGTCTCTGTTAGTTCAAGGCCCAAGGCTACACAAAGAAACCTGACTTGAAAAACAAAACAAAAGTCCATTATAGAGTTGAAGCCGGTGAGGGAGGACCTACAGTTGGAGGTAAGGATTCATTTACCTCTGCCTTTTGTTCATTTTGGGGGTCTAGCTGAGCCGAAGCTTGATGGACTATAGCTTCAATTCTGGCTCCACCTGGGACTCCTAGATGGACATGGAGGGTAGTCAAGGGCTCTGAGAAAAAGTGTGGGTAGGTATGACATCAGGCACCTGCCAATCTGGACTGGATGGAGTTTGTAAAATGGGGTAATGGCCAGCAGTCATGTTGTGTGTTATCCTATCCATATCCCGCAGCACCTCCAGTGAGGAAGAATAAGAGTTGCATTGCAGGAGTGTGGGCCAGTAAGGACTGAAGTTGAAGAGTGGTTGGAGAAGCATTTTCTAAGGAGCTGGATACTGACACACTGTAGTTCATTCAAGAGGCTGTGGATCCAGACCTCTAGTAAGGAGAGCCTTGAGGCAGGTGTGGGCTCCAGAAGAGCCAGGTGGCTTTAGGTGCCATTTCAGATTTGGACGCTTTTGTGCAGGCACGAGCTTTGATGTGGGAGAACTTGAACTCTGTAGAGTTGGGGTTCGTTGTCCAGATTTATTCTTGGGTTGGGTTCCTCGTGTCATCATCTGTTCCCAGGGAAGATGAGCTGTACAAGTGGAGGGTGGTCAGTGTTCCACCAGTATGCAGCCTGCTGACCACATGTCTATAGACAGCGTTTGACCATTGATCCCAAGATGAACTCCAGAGAACAGTACTACCAAAAACAAAGGCAGGAAACATCTTTACAGGGAGATGGTAGTGTAGGGATCCACCTGTAGGTTCTGGAGCTGACAGGTGACATGTACCATATGAATTGATGTATCCAAACTCTAGAACTGGAGCGTGTACCTTAATCTAGATGATAGAGATGGTCAGCTCAGCTTTGGTGAAGTGGTGGACTACTAGGGACACTGTCTCAGCCATGTGTTCTAGCATCAGATTTAAGTACAGTTCATCTTTTTGGAGAGCAAAGGAAAGATGTGAAGGAAAAGGAAGGCAGAGGCTGTGGAGGTGTCTAGAGAATAGTGAGAGAAGGACTGGATCTCTCTAAAAAGGCAAGCAAGAAAACATGGAATTAGAGTGGAGCAGCCCACACACCTCTGGGTACCCACGGTCTTACCCTCTTCCTACTAGAAAAGTGCCATGGCCTCACACTGTGGCAGTGGTACATTTTGAACATAATCATTAGCCCCCTGGTTCTTGAGCCTCTTGTCCCAAAGAACCTGTTGATGGGCACCAGTTCCCTGTGCTTGCCAGCTGTGCCTGGTACGTTATTCCAAATGAGCCATGTCACTCACTTTGATGTCCAAGCTGAGCCGCCTCATGGGAACACTCTGGCTTTCGCTCTAGAATCTAGAGTCAACTTCCCACTGTCACAGCTAGCCTCACTTTGAGTGTCAGGAAACTAGTATGTTTAAGGTTTCTGTGCCTTCACCCATGTCCCCCAAATAATGTCTCACTTTCTCTCTCTCTCTCTTACACACACACTAGGCTCCTGCTTCTTCGACTGCTACATTTGTCAAGCTTCTCAGTGCATCCTTTTCTTAGACCACCTTGTAACTAACTCTTGTGTATGTCATTAGTGTTACAGGTTATTGATTGATTGATTGATTGTGGTGTTTTATGTTCATGAACATTTTGGGTTTTGTTTAGTTTTTGTTTCTTGAGGTAGGGTCTTGCACTGTAGCCCAGATTGACCCAGAACTTGCTGAATAGTTTTGACTGACCTTGAAATCATGATAGTTCACCTGCCTCAGCCCTTTGAGTAATGAGATTGCAGGGATAAGCCACCACGCCTGTTACATTTTAGAGTTTTATGTGCTCATTTGTCGCCTTGATGTTTTTGCTTGGAATATAATGGTTAAAAAGTCAATGTTATCAGGTTGCTTTTAGTATTCTGATTCGTGTATGTTCATATGTGTAGGTTCCTTGTATATGCACAAAGAAAGTATAGAGGCCAGATGTCTGTCTTTAGTGTCAAAAACTAAGAAGCTCTCTAACTTTGGGTTTTTTGTTTGTTTTTCAAGATAATGTTTCTCTGTGTAGGCTTGGCTGTCCTGGACTTGCTCTTAGACCAGGCTGGCCTCAAACTCACAGAGATCCGACTGCCTCTGCCTCTCTGAGTGCTGGGTTTAAAGGTGTGCCCTACCACCCCTGGCTTAATTTTGGGTTTTTGTTGTTTGTTGTGACAGGATCTCCACTGGCCTGGAGCTCACTAAGCAGGCGAGATAGTTGGCTAGCTTGTGAATCCCAAAGGATCCTTTTGTCCCTGTCTGCCCAGTGCTGGTGATCACAAGCACTTTCCATCATGCTTTTCTTTTTCACAGGGGTTCTGAAGTTAGAGCCTAGGTCCTCATGCTTGCATTGGCTAATGCTCTATTGTTTAGCTAATTGCACAGGCCTAATTTAATTTTTTAACATTTAAAATTTCGGGTTTGCTGAGTTAGCTTGGTGGATAAAAGAACCTTCTGTGCAAGCCTGGAATTCAGTCTCCAGGGCCTGCCGTGGAAGGACAGAATGGTTCCCTCCCGAAAGTTGTCACCCACACATACAGTTGCAGTCATATGCTCACAGTCATTATGAAGAAAATAAAAAAATTAAGCTATTTAGGGATTAGATACTATTTTTTTCGAAAGTTGGAATCTCCAAAACCCCTTTTATTTTGGGATAAACTTGATGAAATACTTTTTTAAAATTTATTTATTTTATATGCATTAGTATGAAGGTGTTGGATCCCTTGGAATTGGTGTTACAGACAGTTGTGCGCTGCCATGTGGATGCTGAGAATTGAACCCAGGTCCTTTGGAAGAGCAGATAGTGCTCTTAACCACTGAGCCATCTCTGCAGCTCCTGATGAAATAATCTTAATGTAATTATTAAATCATTACCCTTGTCTGGTAATTTAAATTCATTTTATCTGGAAAAGTTAAATGTGTCCATATATAGAATAGCTGTTTGTTACAGGACAGTTCTCAAACTGTCTTACAGAAGCAGCGCCTTAAATTCCATTTCAAATCCAAGTTAGCTTAGACCATTTTCAGGGAAGGGATATTATGAACTGCACAACACATAGTTGAGTTTGTTTTTATTTGACTGGCAAATATAGGCAAAGGGGTTGTATAACTTGTTTTCATTTTATCTTTTTTTTTTTAAGATTTATTTATTATTTATACAACATTTTGCCTGCACACCAGATCTCACTGTAGATAGTTGTGAGCCACCATGTGGTTGCTGGGAAGTGAACCCAGGATGTTTGGAAGAACAGCGAGTGTTCTTAACCTCTAAGCCATCTCTCCAGCCCTCATTTTATCTTTTATAGAAGAAATTCAGTCTTACGGTTGATAACAAGTCAGTCATTTTGGGGGGACGTGCATGTGTGCAGTTATGCACATTC